CGAGATGCAGGCACGCAGAGACGTACCGAAATACAAACGAAACGAAACAAAACAAAAACTCCCCCCACAGATCTAACAGAGGGGCGGGGTGGGGGGGGGGAGGTGAATCGCCCGTAACGGACGTGAAGGGGGGGAAAAAAAGAAGCGTTGCAAAAGCAACCCCAAATGGAGCAGGCAGGCAAAGAAAGAAAACGAAGAAGGAAAAAAACAAGTGACGGTTACAAAAATAAATAAACCAATTGTATAAAACACACACAGGAGAGAACGTGAAAGTTGTATCTGAAGAAAAGGAAGAAGATCAAAAAAAACCGGCGCACAGTGAATTACGGTAGCAAAGCAGTCGTCAAGGTGAAGAAGCAACCAGCTCGCCCACACACACACACACACACTCATAAATATATATATACAGAGAGACAGAATGTGTGACAAAATAAGACCAGCAAAAAGAATGATATTACTGGCAAAGAAACGACTGGGGAAATACGAAGGGAATATCCTCTCCATTTTTATTTTATTTTTTGCTGTTGTTGTTGTTCCAGTCCGCTGGTTGCGCCCTAAGGTTTATCTGCCAGTAATAACACCAATGTATGTATGTATAAATGTACCTGTGTGCATGCGTGCATTGCACCGTTTTCTTTTCTTTCTTTTGTTTAGTTATGTAAAGCCGTACAGTTTGCGCGGTGTTCGCGTCGACCTTTTTTTTTTTTTTCTCGTGTTGTGTTGTTGTTGCTGTTTTCCTTCATCGCACTGTGTTGTTTATAACATATACATATATATATGCGCCCTCTTGGTTTGAGCTTGTGCGTCCATCGTCGCTTCTAGCGAAAGACTTCATCAACATACGACTGAAGCCGCGGCGGCAGACCGCATTTGTTTTCCACCTTCGCGGCGTCGTCGGCGCCCCCCAGGAACGACACCCCCTCCAACGGGTTGAGCTCGCCCGTCTGCCCCACCTCTTGCTCCAGCCACGTCGCCGGGACGGCGACGGCGCCGACGGCCGGCCAGAGCGGTGGCGCCTCCGCCGCGTCGTCGCGAAACGGCGGCGGCTGAAGGGCAGACGCCGCGACGGAACGCCACTGCGGCGACTCCGGCGCGGCGACTCCCGCATTCCCCTCGCCGCCGCCCCCCAACCCGCCACCGCTGCCTGCGAAAACAGCCGCAGAAGCAGACGACGCCGGCAATCCCGCATCAACGTCGCTGCCAAGCGTCTTTCCGCCCCCGTCACAGCCAAAGCGGCAGGGCTGCTGCCGCAGCACACGACGGGGGCATTTTTTGTCGGGGACGAGCACGGCGTCCAGAGAACGCTTATCGTGAATAGGTTTCCGTGCGGGGCTTGCTCTGACGCTCAGCAGCCTCTGCAGTTCATCCGGGGAAAAGTGGCTCGATTCCAGCGACTCAGCCGACGCATCGCTAAGAAAACTGAAGGGCTTCGACTTCGTGCTGGCATTGCGACAGTAATCAATCATTGCCTTGGCATTCTCTGGTTCGGCAAACTCCACAAAACTAAGCAACAGAGTCACTGGAAACGCGCCACCATGCGCACCAGCAGTAGAGGCGGTAGAGAGCGTCGCTGCCTTAGACGCAGAAAAAGCA